TGTGCTAATGCCATTCTACTGCTAATATTAAATTCAAGAGGAGAGTCTCCACTCTACATGCTAATAGTCTACTAATGCAGAATACAAACTACTTTCAGAGCAAAAAATGAAATGTGCAAGGTAGATAATTGATTTCATAAAGATTTTTAAATTAAAGCTATTTTTATGCATTATTCTCATCTGTAAAACAATCAATAAATAAGAGTAACTTACAGTAATTCTGCATGTTTTGTATTTTTTCTCCCAGAAGGTGTGTTTTCAGGAGGGTGCTGCCATATTCCATTTATTATATATAAGGACAATCTTAAATCATGTTAATTAAAAATGTCTAGAATGTGTCTGAAAATGCCGAAAACCATCTTTCATGTTGGCACAGAGGATTTTAGAGCACTCACCGAAAAATCTCAAAGAAACAGTTATTTAACGACCAGCTTTATTCAATGATGTTAGTGGAAAATGAAAAAGAGAAAATTAAATGTCCACTTCATCCTTTACCTTTTGTTTCTTTTGGTTTATTTGTTTTGGAGATGCTTACCTCTATTTAATGAAAAAAAAAACATTGCATCTTCCTTTTCATTTGGATTTTTTTAATGATGTCCCAAGCCTCTAGACCTTCGCCCTTTTCCACCATCTATGACCCTCCGTGTGAAGACCCCAATGTTCAAGGTTCAAGCTCATACTGTAAGTCCTCCAAGCAAGGCATTGTTTGCTCTTAAATATTCAGCTTTTGTTGTTTAGATTTCTTTCTAATGCTGAATTTTAAAAAAAACACCTCAGATAAGCCCAGCTATCTTTTTGTAGATGGAATTGAATCTGTATCCTGTATTAAACAAGTAGAGGAACCAAATCGGCATAGGTGCATTTAAAAAAAAAACAGATGATTCATTCCATACTAACCTGCTGCGCAAAAATTGACCAATGACTAATGCTTGGCTGAGGGAAAAACAGACTGGCCATGAGAACAAGGTTATTGAAACTCCAGTGCTATATAAGGTGAACCGAGGAGCTTTGGTGAGTGAGAGTATGGAAGAAGAGGAGGGATTAAAAATGATAAAGTCTTGAAAAGGTTATAAGACAGACGGATAATCAGACAAGGTTGGGGGATGTAGTCCACTCTTAGAATCCTTTGTTTCCTTTGTAAACATTCATTGGACCACAGACCATGAAAAGGAAATGTTGATAGTGTAAAATTAATCACTTAAAAGAGGCCATGTAGACATTTTTTATCATTTCTGTGAATAATCATAACATCATCACAATGAGTATTATTAAAAGCTGGAAATTCAACTGCTAAAAATCAAGATGGCAAGCTTCAATATAAAGTTGTAAAGTTCTCATTTTACTTTTCTGCTTTGCACATTAACACAACCTCCATATTACAATAGTTCTAATTTAAATATACTTTTTCTATAAACCATTGTCTCTAAATTAATATCATCCAGTTCTCTTAATACTCATCTTAGTTTCTTTGTTTGTGATCTCAGTATGCCTATTTTTAAGCAGGTGACAAGTGGTTATTTATACATTTTTTATTTTTTAGCTGAGACTGAATGTGAATTATGTGGACATAGAGTGCAAAAGAGGACAGTAGATTCCAGTCTTCAGATGGCTGATTCTGTGTATGATGTGCTCATTGTTTGTGATATGTACAGAAGTAGGCTATCACACTTGATTGAGTTGTTTTGTATCCTGTAGAAGAAACATCTTGATTCATTTGAAGCCATGCACCGCTCTAAACCTGTGTAAATGTCATCTCATAGCCACTCCAATAGATGCAATGAAAAAATTCATGTGCTGGTTTCTCATGCCATGAACATGTACAATATTCTGCTCACCACTGGATCAATTAAAATGGGCCCAAGGGCATCCTTTGATTGTAATCTGTTTTCCTTCTCCATCATAGTTTGTGCCAAGGTACTGTACCAATGCTAAATATTCTATTCTCTGATATTCAAAAAAGCGAATGTACTATAGGAGGTAGGGGGACTAAATCGATAAAACAGAAATAGATCTGTCCAGTTGCTGTAATACAAAAAGAAAGCTCATGGTATTCTAGCATTGAGCTGATTTTGATGTTTCATTTCTTACAATTAAGAAACCCTCCTACTGAAAACATTGTGTGCCTTGTTCCTTTGTATAAGATGACTTTTGTACTCAACTCAGAGTGCAGAACAGGCCCTGTAGCCTGGAAACTGCCAGTTTACTCCCAGGTTTTTTCAGTTGCTGACTGTGGTCAGATACACAGCATGTGTGAGGGTTGTGCACAGTTGGCCATACAGTACTGAAGCTGAGTAGGAGTAGAGCTTTGGATTTGTGATTTACCATGCACAAATAGTCCCTGTTGCTAGTCAGACATGCTAATCTATGCTGCTACTGTATCAGTAAGAACTACAGTATGGCTGGCATCCCTTGAACACAAATGCCCTACTGCATTCAATGCCATCGATATGGAAAGAATGTGACAATGTACAGTATGTGCAGTTCCTTTGCCATTAGTGCAGAAACTGAAGTGATGTGCCAGATTGAATGATGATTGGCTAACCCATATTGTTAGTAGAGGAATCACCAATGCATGACTTATTCATAGAAGTAACAATATTTAATGGATTTTGTCAGCCTGCATGATATGCATCACAATGTATTACTTTGTTTTCACCTTCAGCTGGTGTCTGTTTTAGTATGAACATGGTCACTTTTCTAACCTGAAGTCTAAGGGCATCTGAATTAGCCACGTGATACGTAGACTATCCAGAGGGCAGCAACAATGACCTAATGAATGAATGTGCTCCAATAATGTTTCTCCCCACCATATATTATTTTAGAATGCAATTTCTTCTACAGTCTTTGGAGGCATGGGTTCCTAGATGTGTTTGCTGATCTAGTAAGTTGTGAATACAAAAATAATTAAAAAAAAAAACATTTCAGATGAATGTGCCTCTGGGGAATGGTTGGGGATAGACATACATAACATCAGACTTCAATTAAGGCTTCACTTGAAGCTGCCATGGGACCACAGCTCAACTCAGATTGCAAGATGCAGTTTGAAGCTACAGTATGCATACTGAATGTACTTGTTGGAGAAAAGGGTAGAAAAACCACAACAACAAAATGTGACTGAAATAATCAACCATCTCATTATCTCTACCCCTTGCAGAGAGAGATAACTGATCAGTACACACTAGAGTTCATTATTATGTATCTTAAAATGCCTTTTCCCTGAAACTGTTCTGTTTACATGTTTTTATCAAGACGACTTTGATATTATAGTTAGTTCTACTTTCATGAAAACATTACATTTTAAAGAGAAGTTTTAAAACATTCACCATTCCTTTTACAGTATCTTGCCTTTTCTGTTTATAGTTAGATATTTCAAACAAATTTTGCATTATAATCTTCATATTCATCACCAAACAACAATTCTAGGAATTGAAACAAAAATGTATTTAAGGGAATATAATGCTGGAACATTCAGTACCTTACATAAAGAGACTATCTCTCTTTTTGTCTAAAACAAAATTTGCAGTGAAACATATTGTAAACCTTTACTTGTATGTCTGACTGCAAATTTTGGTCAATATCTTTCTTGCTCAATAATTCTCACTTTTTTGCATTTAAAAATTCACAGTGTTTCTCACTTTCAGAATAAAATTTTACTCTTTCACACATGTCTTGAAATCTCCTTATCTCCAAATGTTTATAACAGGTGACAACAAAAATGTTGTAGATTTATTGCTTTATTAGTTAAATAATTGTATTACTTAAAAAACTAATGATTGAACCACATAGAGGTCTGCAATGGATATTGAGTTGGAACAATGTGTGGCTACAAGATGTATTTGCTGGATGAACAGGTTTTGACCTTATAGGTTTTTTTCTTTATGTTTTAACGTTTATACAGCACAACATCTGGATATCAAGTAGGAAAGGATGCTTCTAAAGCAAAAAGTAGGTAGTGTATTTATACTACAGTATACTATATGGATGTATAATTCTACCCACTTAAAACATGATATTGACATTAACAATGTCAGTTCCCATTTTGGGAATGAAATTCTTCTCTCTATGTCTGATCCAAATAAAGGGAACCACAGCTCAGAGGAATCAGTCTCTACGGATGAGTGCGGGCTTTGCCTCTATCCCTGAGAATCTCCAGAGTATGCTCTAAAGGACATTAAATCAACACTTGGCGTTATGACTCCTGCTTTACTATAGTAGTTATTGGTAGTAGTTATTGGTATAGTAGTTACTGGGCATTATAAAATTGCAAGTATATACTGTAAAATGCTGAAATTAATATAATTAATGTTTGTTTGCTGTGATTACATTGTACCACATGGGAAAACTGAAAAAAGTAGGCTTCAAAGAAGGCTGATGATGCTATTGATATTTATTGTTTTCTAAAATCTAAATCAGACCACATTATTTTTTAGTATTCTTCAAAAACCCAGTGTTGAAATGGACTGCCGTCTCACAATATTTCAGGAACTTAAATACTACATGTTAAAGGTTTTGCAGCTAAAAAATTGTGAACCTTTGTTTTTTTAAGAAATTGGTTTGTGTGTTATTTAAAATATGAAAAGAAACATATGGTTAAGGTTGAAATGGCTCTTTCTTCGCAAGAATGGCAAAATATACCTACTTAATGTATTTTCATGTCCATTTCTTTGCATTGTCAGGATAACAATATACTTTCACCTTTGTCATGTTTTAGGATCATATAGTGTTATAACATATGTGATGGAGTCAGACATTTTTTCAGAAAAATATTTCAGAACAAATTTATGGCTGTTCAGGTTTTAGTTATATACAGTACAGTATATTGATGTCATACACTATTTTGAAAATGAAGAAAACTCTTACAACTCTGGAACAACTTCTGGAATTTATTTTCCAGTAAATATTTTTTCCCTTTGCCATTGTTATTCATATCATTCACTTTCCTTGCGCCAACAGTAAACGTCTAACAAATATGTATTTTTCCTTTCTCTGTTTTAACATAGGCTACTCTTTTCATCCACCTGAAGACCATGAATAAAGTCAAAACATCGGTCTTCTAATGCTGGCTCAGTGAACGCTCCCCCAAAGCTTTCTGGGAAGTATTTCTTCACACTCTGTGCTGTTTACCTTGTTTCCACAGTGGATAGGGTGTGCACAATATTTGGGCCATAGCACCTACATTCTATGACTTACAGTTTCTTACACACTGTGTCTTATTGCAGTGTCAAATAATAAGTCATTTTTACTTGAGGCTTTCAGAACACTTCTTATAGAAAGACAAAGGAAATAATAATCAAAGGAAATGTGTTCAATGTATTTCCATCTTCTCAGTTGTGTTGACACCAATATTTCCAGTCCACACTGAATCCTCCACATTAGGTTATTTTAAAGCAGTAAACTTATTTCAAAGTGAAGCTTCAGTGATAAGATTTATTTTCGTGTGATCGCAGCAACATCAGTTTTACTTTCTGTACTAAAGGAAAAGTCTTCTGAGGTTCCTTGCTTGATTAGGGTTTTATTTTAATTGATAGAAGACAACAAATGTAAGTCTGATCTGAGCTATTGCATGAAGTTAGCATTCCAAGCGTCATACTGTAGGTCACACTATAGTTTAGGCTTTGCATAATTGTTTCTTATGGTATTATATGCATTTTGTTGAGTTGAGGTAAAACAGTGACTCAAGTAATGCTCCTTTTGTTTTCAATAAAGGGCACTTCATGCAGAATAATCCTGTGAGCTCCACAGATGCAATGTACAAAGCAGAAATAAAAAATAATTATCATTTTGAGTTCCTTTCATTTTCTGAGCTCAGAGGTATTGTTTTATTATTGATGGCAATCTGACAGTTCTATACAGTAATTACACATTCACATTCACAATCAGAAACCAAATGAAATTCTGATTTAGCCCTTAATCAAATGACTGGCAAAAAAACTAGAAACGTTTTAGCAGTTTTATGCACAAGATGTCAAATCACTTTATAGGAAGAAAATCAAAGTTTACATTAGGATCTCCACTTGTGCAAAAACATTGAAGTTTTTAAAGCATAAATAAGTATTTTATTTATAAATAAATATGCATATGTTGCTGTTTGTGTTTTTTCATAGATGTCTGCCAAAATATATATTCTGGTAGTTCGTCCTGATTAATGCAATGTAGAGGGGAAACATACAGTATTTATTTTGTATAAACAATTTTTCTTTTTAAAACTTTGTTTGAGTTGTGCATCATATGTACATTAGTTTAAAGCAAATTAAGGCAGAAAATGCTTTGGTTTTTTGGTCTGTTTATACCTTAATGGGGCTGGTTGGTTTCATAATTTTATTATATTATATAAGGTTTTTGTTTTTTTAATGAATGTTCTGTAAAATACAGTACAATAATAACATCCACTTATTTGATGCTATTACAGTATATGTGTCCTGTGTTAATAACTTTGCTTGTTTAAAGAGGTGAGACACTGACATTCAAGCTGTACCATTCACATACCTGTACTGTACAGATGTTTATAAAAATCTTTTATCTAAAGTCTTCTAAACCTAAATCTAAACCTGAGATTGTAGTAATCTAAACAAGTGCAGTACAGTACATATACAGTACAGTAGATGCTATTGCATAATATATTTTGTCATGTCACTGAATGTGTTATTGGGACACTCTCCCAAGGTGTGCAAATAAATAATGGACCTCTATTCAACACATTTTTAGGGTGCTTTTGTAAAATGTTTGGTCCATGTAGTTGGGGATAATGATTCCTTGTGATATCAGAAAAAATAATCCTTGCTTTACTTTGACAATTAAGATAAATGCCATAAAAGAGTACAAAGATAGACTTACTGTATAAATCATCTGTTCACAAGTTATTAAGGTAAGTTTTAATAATGATATACAGTAGCACTTTGGTAATGCGTGACCAAATTGATTCATTTTGGTGTTGTAACATACAGGTTTTATATGTATTGTATGATGAGGTATCGAGCTCTTGCTTAGGCATGTATCTTTGACATTGACTATTGGCTGATAGCTATTCAGAAATGACATCAGCATCGCAGATTGCCCTGTAACATTTCTTCTACACAAGTCTTACTGTTCTTCTTTGCTAAAACAGCACGGCCCAGGAGCAAATTATATGAAATGCAAACTGACAGTGAAAGAAAAAATAAATGACCTGTTTTACTTCTCTGAGAGTGTATTGAAACAGTGTGTTTATTAATGCAGCTAACAGAGCAATGTTTATGATTCTGTGCCATGTTATTCAGTCAAAATGCAACATCAAGGTGCACCAGTATGCTATTATAATATATAAGCCTCAGTGAGTCATCAATAGTATACTTAAATATGGATGGGAAAATAAGCCCTCCACTGTGGCTACAATGCAAATCACTGTCAGGTTCCTCTGAAAAATAACACTAAAAGAAATGCAAAATGTCCCAGAATTTGCATTGACAGTGAATTTATAACTAATGCTTTGTTTACTGGAACTGTGATAATCCATTCAGAAACTTTTAAGAAATTGCTTTTAAGTATGGTGCTGAAAACATTTATATGTACTGTACTACTGTACATATCAAGGATTATAACAATAACAAATATTCCATTTTAATATTACTAAATAAGTAAACTTTAGAATTGCCATTAACATCTTAAGTTTGGTTGGACAGTATAACACAGTTTCTATTGTATGAGCAATTCTTGGTCATGAACTTTCTTGATGGGCTTATTTAATGAAGAACAGTGGCACCCAATTAGATGCATTTGAAGCTGTTTATCAAGTATTTAAGAATTTTGAGATTTTGCTTAACCTGCTTGGCTGGGAGACCGTGCAGAGTGAGGTTTAACCCAGTAGGGTAAAAGAGGTTTGAAGGAGGGGGAAGAGGGATGCATGAGACAAAATGTGCAAAGAGGAGTTTACGTATAATACAGTATACAGTACAGTACTGTATATATCCCTCCCAAACCCCAGTTAAAAACTCCATATTTAGGTAAAAAAATACTTGGATTCATGTGTTTTGATTGTTAAAAAAATAGAATTTATATTACTAATAACATTATGTCATTACAGCATGCTTAAATTCTGATATTTCTTCCTAAAGATATGATATGTTTGAACATATAGAATTATATTTTTTGTTTTATGGTGAAATGTAGGGTTTTATTTATATGCTGCTTGTCTGTTCCCCAATATTTTTGTGCATAAGGTGTTTAAAATATCATAGCAATAACCTTATGAACCTTTAAGATGTATAAAGACATTTCCCTTTGCTAGTAAGATAAGCATGCACTATCAAGGACTGACATTTACACCAAACTGGGGAAATTCATTTATCTGAACAAGCAGTGAGTGAAAAATGTACTTGAGAAAGTTTATTTTACAAGTCAAGAACATAATACTGTAACATATTGGTACTGCACCATTTTTTGTGCAGAATATTTTTTTCAGTGGAGGCAAGTTAACTATAAAACTTTAAAAATTAAATAGAACAGCATTGTTATGATTACATTAATGTTCAAAACCATTTCTTATTTTTGACATCACAGTTAAAGAACATAATGTTTCCTTAATTCAGTCAAAAATAGGAAACCCTCAAACTGTTATCCTGAAATTTTATTGACCTCTTTATACATTTCTACAAGATATAAAGAACTCCCAAAGAAAAAGGCATAAAAAGTGAGATCATAGGTTTTATTTTGATTCTGTTTGTGGATATTGCAAAAAATACAGTAGGATCACTCAGAAATTTTGCAATAATAAGCTTAACTTCCATTATTATAAATGAGTAAATCAGAAAAATCCAAATTGCACTTGTAGTTGTCTCTATTTTAAAAAAAAAGATAGAATGGCAAATAAAAAGATAAAACATATCCATTTTGATAACCTTTACAAGTGATTAAGTGTTCTAGTTTCCTAAAATCATTATTGTCAAAGCCCTCTGCATCATGCTGGTCGAGTGTCTTTGTTCTGTAGCCTTGAACTTCAGGTCTCCTTCTTTGAAGGCTCACAACAGACACATGTGGAGAATACCCAAGGTCATTGTCTAGGACTTTGTGTGGTATCTAAGTGAGGGTCAGGCAGTATTTGTTGTATTCAGTCAATTATTCTTGACAGGGAGGATTATGTTTTTATTATGTCCAACTGACATCCAGCATCATAGGGTACTGTATCTTGTTATGCAGTAAAGTAAAGTACTATAACTATAACATACATACATATAAACATAACGTTACATATGTTTTTGTTAATTGGGGGAAAATTGTGAACTTGAAAACCTTTATTTTTTCCGCTGTCAGATAAACTCACTTGCTTCATTTAGGTTGTAACATTGAACTGTAGCTTCCAATCAAGCAACAAGCCAGGATGTTTAGTGTAACTACTTCCTTGCAATATAATAAAATAAATAAGATTAAATTCTCTTGCTCCATTGTGCCTTTATGAATACTAATCTAAATTGTACTGTCTAAACGCAGTACGTTGTAGTTTCTGTGTTTATCTTAGCTGGAAGTTCAGTACTCTTTACTGTCTCAGTGTGTTTTTAGTGATATGGCAATCACACAAGGTAGATGGTGTCTTTACTTCATATATCCTTCTTCATTCATTTCCAAGTCATTATAACTTATTGTTAAATCTAATTTTAAATGTACTCTATGAATAACACAACACAAACAGCATCCCTAATACAGTAGAATTTTGAATTACTGCAATAGTCGACCTCTATACCTGGCTGTTCTTTTTATTTTATTTTATTTTCAAAAAATAAAATAAACAATCCATCTGACAGAAATTTCTATAGCTGAATTTTGATCAGACCAAGGCAATGCTGGTTGGTTCACCAGATCTGATCTGTAAATATGAAAACCTTAAATTTTTCTTTGATGGGAATGAGATTCGACCTCACACCCAAGCAAAAAATCCCAGTGTTATTGTTTTCCATTTATCTTTAAAATGAGATTTCCCTATTATTATTAAAGTAGCCTTTTCACTTACTGTACATAAAATTGCTCCTGTTAACTCTTGTGTCTCCTGGAACCATTCTGAGTAGTTAGTAAAGTACATGTTTTTTACTGCAATGCAATTCACGCTTAAAATTATCTCAGTAAATTGCAGTCTGTTTAGAATCCTACAGCTTGAATGCTAAATAAAATTAAATCTAGGATATGTATAATTCAAATGGGCTGAATTTAAAATACTACTGTACTCACTTTTTATTTCCCTGATTGGTTTAGCACCAGACTTCTGGCACATCTGTTCCAGACAGGAATCATGTTACAAAGGTTACAAAGAAAAGTGGTCATACTGTATATTTTTATATCTTGGTTATCGTTTTTTGTGTTTTCTTTCTGCTTTTTTTTTGCTCTGACATATTTATTAATAATTGCACTGTAACTTTTCTTGATTTCTTAGTACACTATCATTTTAAACTGCTCTTTTAAACTGCTCTGATGTTTATTTTACAGGCTGTATTTCTTTCTTGAAATTCAGCAACAATAACATCACAACCAATGCCAACATGCTGTATAATTTGCTGATCTCTGAGTAATGTGCTGAATGTTTCATGTTTGAAAGCACAATGGAAAGGAATGCATGTGTTTTGTTTCTCATATTAAATGTCTACTTTGCATTCAGGACAATGGAAAGAACAGTAAAACAATATATTGCTTTCTCTTAGGTTTTTGAGATTTTGAATAGGCAACAATGCACTCTTGATTGGAACACAAGATAGTTTTCAAATCTTTCCAGAAAACACACTTTCTTTTACAAAGAATTCCACAAATCTTTTCCCACTTTGTGCCTACAAATATTGCATTTGGTATAGACATTTTTGCAAATGATAAGTCATTATTGCAACATTCATTTCTTTTTTCCTGGTTTTGTTTTTACGGTCATTCTGCCTAGAACAGTTCCCCAGTATTTCTAGAGAAATAGCAGCTATAACTTCTGCCAAATCTGCCAAATCATCACTGATGAGTCAAACAGCACCAAATTAAATTACACTATTGTTCAGGA